TGGGACTTTTAGTTTTAAAGCTGGGAAAGCCCAAGGGAAACCAGGACAAGCTGGTCACCCTAGACCCAGAGCATGCTTTTGACTGGAGATAATTTTGTCCCACTATGAAATTTTTGAGTAACCTATTCATATAACAAGGTCTTTACCCTCTAGCTGGTGAGCACATTGATTATTCCCAGCCTTGTGGATTCTGGAGATTGTTTCCTGATGGCTTTTTCCTGGCCTTGATTAGTTTCATGTATGCTCAAATTAGTACTTAGCAAAAGACGTAGATCTCCCTGGGGTTTGTGAGGTTCCTTTTTCTGTTTCATTTTTTTTGGTTGTTGTTGTTGTTTTCTATGCAGATCCATATTTCCCTATACTTTGTCCTGCAAATTTTAGCCACCATGGCTACCGTGAGCTTCAATCTGTGTATCCTCAACTCAGTGAAACTGATGAACTCTATTTGTATTCTCCCATGCTGCTCTGCTGCCTGGAAACTGCCTCTAGGCAGTAAGCTAGGATAAACATAGGGATAATTTTGTTCGCTTCCTTTTTGCAGGAATCATAGTCCTGAAATGTCCGTTGTCTAGTTCCTGAAAACTGATACTTAATGTAGTTTGTCTGGCTTTCTTGTTGTTTAAGATGGGAGTGTATGTGTAGTCTCTGGTACTTCATTGTTGCCATATGCAGAAGTCTACATTTTATACCTCAATATATATTTTAAATGTATACGTTATAAATACCTGAAGGAGTTGTCCTTTTTCAGCATACACCAGTTTCGATGCTTTCAGTTTAAGCTCACCAAGACAACGGAATATTTGAAAATAATAATGGCAACTATTTACTGAGTCTCAGCCTTGTGCTAGATGTTTCATATACATTGTCTTGAATCATCATAAAAACATTTAAAGATAGATATTATTGATATTATTTCCATTTTAAAGATGTCAAAAATGATATTCAAATCAGTAACTTGACTAAACTCATCAGCTAATATATTGAACAGCTTACATGTGAATGTGGTCTCTCTCAGTACTCATTTATCCATAACACAGTGCCTAATATGTAGTATTAAAATGATACCACATCGGCTGAGTGTGGTGGCTCACGCCTGTAATCCCAGCATTTTGGGAAGCTGAGGTGGGTGGATTGCCCTGAGGTCAGGAGTTCGACACCAGCCTGGCTAATGTGGTGAAACCCTGTCTTTACTAAAAATATAAAAATTAGCTGGACAAGGTAGCAGGTGCCTGTGATCCCAGCTGTTCTGGAGGCTGAGGCAGGAGAATTGCTTGAACCTGAGAGGCAGAGGTTTCAGTGAGCCCAGATCATGCCATTGCACTCTAACCTGGGCAACAAGAGCGAAACTCCATCTCAAAAAAAAAAAAAAAATCACACCAAAAACAGTGGAGGTCAAAATAATTTGTGGTCGAAAGGTTAGCTAATGCAGAAAATTTAAGTAATTCTGATAATAGCATTTTTGTGATATAACTAACTTTTTTGTGTGTAGGGGGAGGAGAGAGAAAGAATGAATGTGGGTGCAGATTTCTATGTGCCTGTGTTTGGTGAAGTGGATAAAGGAACTTTACCCAGCCACATTGACCTTCTTTGAGCCTTGGTGACTTTGAATATGATACTGAAATTGCATTCAATTCCCAGAGTTACTGTTTTAGTTTCCTAGTTTCCAGGACTGTGCTAATCATTACCATAGACTGAGTGGCTTAAAACAACAGAAAATTATTTTCTTCCAGTTCTGGAGGCTAGAATTCCCAAATCAGGTTTCAGCAGAGGTGCACACCCTCCGAAGGCTCTAGGGGAGAATCCTTCCTTAGCTCCTCCAGCTTCTAGTGACTCTCAGCATTTCTTGGCTTGTGGCAGCCTCACTCCATCTCTGCTGCTGTCTTCCCGTGGTCCTCTTTCCTGTGTCTTTCTGTCTTTTCCTCGTCTCCTCTCTTCTAAGGACTTGTTAGTGGATTTGGTGTGCCTCCCCCGCAACTCGCACCAATCTAAGATGCTTTCATCTTGATATCCTTAACTGGATTACATCTGAAAAGACCCTAGTTCCCAAAGAGGTCACATTCACAGGTATTAGAGATTAGGACTTGGACATAGCCTTTTGAGAAATACAATTCAATTCACTACAGTTTTTACGAGAGCTCTGAGAGTCTTCCAAATGGTGGCTCTTCCATATTCTACCATGAAAGCTATCGAGCTATCTTGAAGGGGAGGTGGTTTGGACACCTCTGTGTTCATTTCCATGGTGTTGAAGGTTTTAGACAGTTAAATACAGAAGAATGCCCCTTTTCTTTGCTAGGCCAGCTCTCTGCTTGATCCCACAGAGGCTGGCTACCTTGCAGCCCAGGGAGTTATCTCCTGTAATTATCCATAAACCACAGCTGAGAAATAACTCTAGACACCCACCCACCTCTGAACAAGATGAACCTCTAACTTGTATATCCAAGCCTGAGTGTGACTTCTCTCCAGGTATCTCTCTTTCCATTTGGGCAGCAAGACAGCCCTTGGGTCTTTGCCACTTTTGAGTCAGAGATTCTATCTTCCAGGATTCTGTTTCACACCCCCTCTGCATATATTTGGTGACCAGGTATCCTGTTTTGCAACTTTCTTCTAATGTCTTTTTATCTGCACACATAAGCAACAACTTTTCTTAATTCTTTGTGACCTTGCCAACTAAGAATCTTGAACATGATAGGACTGAATTTTTAAGGCGTTAGACTTAATAACTAGGTCATTACCACTATTTACTAACCTGGACTCATTCACAGTGATCTTTTCTTTTCGCCTTGCAACAGCATAATGAGGTTATTAATTACAGCAAGAGGCTAAGTACTCCCAGTTTGCTTTAATGCTATCTGGGGAGATGGCTGGGTCTTTGGTCATAATTTCTGTTAAATGACTCCAAGGAGATACAGTTAAATTGTCATGAAATGATATTTCCCTTCAATGTAAACTTGTTTCTTCAAATGGGTTGTTTTTTTGGGTCCCTAAAATTCCCGGTTATATTCCACCAAATGCCTCATTCACCTGAACAGTGCAGGCCATGGAGAGTGGCAGTTAAAAGCACGGGCCCTGGAGCCATGCTGCCTGGGTTTAAAAACCAGATCTGCTACCTACTCTGTGATGTTATGCACATTATTTGTCTCTGCCTCCGTTTCCTCAACTGGACAAGTGTGAGGATTAAATAAATTCATATATGTAAAGTGCTTAGGCCAGTACCTGGCACATAGTGAAGACCTTATACAAGTGAGTGGTTGTTTATCCATTAAACACAAAGAATTTGCTTTTGGTATCTACTGTGTATAAGGCACAGTTTGGTGCTATGCACTTTAGCTGATGGTGTTATAGGTTGACTTGTGACCTCAAAAATTCATATGTTGAAGTCCTAACCCACAGTAGAATGTGACCTTATTTGGAGATAGGGCCTTTAAAGAGGTAATCAACTCAAAGTGAGGCCATTAAATTAAGGGTGGGCCGGGTATGGTGGCTCACACCTGTAATTCCAGCACTTTGGGAGGCCAAGGCGGGCTGATTATGAGGTCAGGAATTTGAGATCAGCCTGACCAACATGGTGAAGCCCTGTCTCTACAGAAAATACAAAAATTATCTGGGCATAGTGGCAGGTGCCTGTAATCCCAGCTAGTCAGGAGACCGAGGCAGGAGAATCACTTGAACCCGGGAGGCGAAGGTTGCAATGAGCCGAGATCACACCACTGCACTCCAGCCTGAGTGACAGAACAAGACTGTCTCAATAAAATAAAATAAAATAAATAAAATAATGAAGTGAATGTGGCATATATGACTGGTGTCCTTATAAGAAGAGGAGCTTTGGATATAGAAGGAGGACAATGTAAGGAGACACAGGGAACAGATGGCCACCTACAAGCCATCCTTCCCTTACAGCCCTCAGCAGGAACCAGCCCTATCAGCACCTTGATTTTGGACTTTTAGCCTCCAGAACTGTGGAGAATGAATTTATGCTTTTTAATCCACCTGTTAAAGCAGCCCTGGGAGACTAAGACAGATGATCATAGCAAGAAATCCCAAGGAGCATGTTATCTGGTAAGAGAGATATGTGCCATAGGACTCTGGCTGTAAGCAACAGAAATCCACAAAAGCTTGCTTAAACAAATAAGCAACCCAAAAGATGAACTCACAAAATCCAAAGTAGGTCTGTAGCTGGCACATAAATGTCATCTCTTGCCCCTGCCTCTCTCTTGGTGACTGTGACATTCCTTTTTCTCTCTCTCTTCCTCTCTCTCTCTCTACCCTGGTTTTCTGTGCTTTCCCAGTGTAGGTGACAGAAAACATGGTCCTAAATGGCACCCAGGTTTGTGCATTAAAGATACAACCACCAAGAAAGAAACTACATGACTCACTCACTCATTAATTCAAACTCTCAGGGAAGGATAGCTCATTCTTCCACTACAAGTCAGACGCTTACCCCATCAACTGTGACCAAAAGGGCAGTATGTCAGTGAACAAAAATGATGCTGCTGCTGTCACCAGATGGATGGAGCATTACCAAGCAAAGAAAATTGGGCAGATGACCAGGGTGGGGGGTGGGTCCATTAATAGCAATAAATTATTATGGAGTCATGATGCCATACTACTGTAGAATATGAAGGTAAACTAAATCTAGAGAAAATGTCCCATTGAACAGCATCTGGCATGTTCTAGTCTTGGAGCTGCAGTTGCTTCTTCCACCTTAAAAGAGGCAGAAATTAGCAAGGATTAAAAGCATAGTCCTTTAATCAGAGACACATGGACTTGAATCCTGTTTGGCCTTGTATTAATTATGCTGTCTTGGACTTATCACCAGGCCTCTCAGAGCCTCAGCTTCCTCATCTTTCAAAAAGAAAGATGAAAATAATATCACCAACTTCCTAAGTTTGAAGTGAGCTTTAAAGGTATATTTGGCAACTCTAAATACCCAGTATGTGTTAACCGTTGTTACTACCATTGGTATTTGATGAATCCTTTTTTTGTTTTGCTTTCTCCTTCAGGCTGAATTCTCAGAGTTGAACCTAGCGGCCTATGTGACGGGGGGCTGCATGGTGGACATGCAGGTCATGAGAAATGGGACCAAAGTGGTGAGGTAAGTAGGACTAAAAAATGCAGAACATTTTGAGAAGTATGTACTTGGAACCTCATGTAGCCCATCCTTCCGTCCATTGCCTGCGACCTGAATCCTGTGCCACACATACATTCCTGTGCAGAATGTCTGCTTCCCAGGTGTGGTTGCAGTAGTAATGACCACGGCACACATCTTAGAGGCAGCACCTGTGGTGTCCTGGAGTGAGCCCTGGACTTGGAGAGAAAAGACTTGGGTTCCATTTCTGGCTTTGAGGCTCTGCTGTGACATATTAGTTAGTCTCTTCTGTCCTCTACTTCTCATTTGCAGCATGATGATAGCAGTGCTGAAGTTAGAGGCTGCTGAAGTTTACAGAAACTCACATGTGTGACAGCACCCTATTAACTCTAAAGTGCTGTACAAATGGAAGGGTTTATTAGAATAAATGAAATTTAGCTTCCTGCAGTATGGCAGACTAAACATTCATAGAATCATCCCCAAGTAGACCAAAACTAAAAGCACTAGATATATAACATGTTCAAAAAAATCTGTTTGTAATTTATGCTGAATTGGAGAGCAAGTGAGGGGTTTCTTTAGAAGCCAGAAATGATAAGAATGTGTATATCCATAGGAGAGATAAGCATGTATATAAATACATTGCTCTCTAGTTAAGTACCCAGAGAACGATACATATTAGATCTCATGAGAGTTTAGAGAAGGAAGAGATAGGATTCAGATTTGGGTAAGGAGGGAAAACAGGAAAAACTTTGAGGAAAAGGTCACATTTGTTTTGAGCCTGGTCCAATGGGAGAATGTGGACATTCTCAGATTGGGTATAGGGAAGGAGAAATATATCCTAAGAGTAGGAAACAGCCTCTGCAAATAAAGACAGACCCCCCAAAAAAGGTGCATGTTTGGTGTATTAGTTTGTTTTCATGCTGCTGATAACGACATACCCGAGACCAGATAATTAATAAAGAAAAAGAGGTTTAATGGACTCACAGTTCCACGTGGCTGGGGAGACCTCATAATCATGGCAGAAGGTGAAAGGCATATTTTACCTGATGGCAGACAAGAGAGAATGAGAGCCTGTGCAGGGAAACTCCCCTTTATGAAACCATCAGATCTCTTGAGACTTACTGTCACAAGAACAACATGAGAAAGACCCACCTCCATCCATGATTCAATTACCTCCCACCACGTCCCTCCCATGACACAGAGTAAATGTGAGAGCTACAATTCAAGATGAGATTTGGGTGTGGACATGGTCAAACCATATCATTTGGGAAATTATGATAATTCTACTAATTCAGCCATTCTTTATTGAGTGCCCGCCATATGCCATGAAAGATATTACATGGCTTCCTGTTTCCAGTAATGATGGGCTAGGTCATTTGGACCAGCTTTTCTACTGAAAACAACTTAAAAACTACTAAATAATTACAGTCTTTCAAGGCCTTCTAAGAGTTGCTGTGACGGTAAGGAATTACCAGAAAGAGACTTATGGGAAAATGAAAACCCAGAGAGGTAAATGAGTACCAAGCCACCTGTATCCTGAGAATATTCGCTAGGTCAGCCAAATTTGAAACTGGTTTTGAGAGCTTAGTGAGGGCAAGGGAGACAGAAATCAACACTCAGGGCCACTCAGAATAGGGAGTATAACTGTAGACACTCTCCACAATAAGCTGAGATCCCCCAAGGGACTACACCTTCTAGGTAAACATGAATTACAAGTAGGTGAGCCCTCACAAGTACTTGCAGCTTGAATTGCAGCTTGAATAACTCAGCCCTCCAGGAAACCTCAAGCCTTGAACTTGGTTTATGGTGATCCCAGACATGCCAGAAATAAAAGAAAATTCTATGTAAAGGAAGGCACTTTCATCCTAGGCTTCAAATGATCCTTCAAATAATTTTTTTTGTATAATAGCTAGCGCATAGTCAAAGATAACCAGGTGAAACAGGAACAATGGACAATGGAGACAGAAACTCAAAGATAGAATTATCAGACAGATTATTTTTAAAAACTATACATATCAAATTGAAAAAAGTCAGATTTGGAGATAACTGCAGAGAATAGGATACTATAAACGTGATGTAACTAGGTGTTTTCTTTTTTGTTTTTCGGGTTTTTTTTGAGGTGGAGTTTTACCCTTTTTGCCCAGGCTGGAGTGCAATGGCATGATAGTGACTCACTGCAACCTCTGCCTCCCACGTTCAAGCGATTCTCCTGCCTCAGCCTCCCAAGTAGCTGGGATTACAGACCCACACCACCATAACTGGCTAATTTTTTTATTTTTAGTAGAAACTGGGTTTCGCCAGGTTGGTGAGGCTGGTCTCAAATGCCTGATCCATTTGCCTCAACCTCCCTAAGTGCTGGAATTACAGGCATGAGCTGTGTACCATAAATGAGTTTTTTAAAAAAACAAACACAACTTCTAGAAATGAAAACTACAATAATCAAAATTATTGTGTTTAACATCACATTGGACACAGCTGAAAAAGCATTTATGAAATGACAGGTACAGCTGAAGAGATTATCCTGAACGAAGCACAGAGAGGAAAAGATTGGAGGTGAAGGAAAGATTGTTAGATCCTAGGAGAAGGTCTAACATTCATTTAATTAGATTCTTAAAAAAAGCGAGGTAAAAAAGAAAACATCAGAGACAGTACTTGAAGAAATGATTCTTTCAGAAAGATACCAAACCACCAAAAACAGAAGCTCAGCAAATTTCAAGCAGGATAAATAAAAATAATTCCACACCAAGACACAATGGTGATATTTAGAAAGAAAAAGACAGAGGGAAAAAGGCACATTACAGATGGTCCCCAATTTATAATGGTTTGACTTATGATTTTTTTGACTTTATGGTGATGCAAAGCAACACTCATTCAGCAGAACATTAATAAATTGCATGAGATCTTCAACACTTTATTATAAAATAGGCTTTTTGTTCAAAGATATTGCCCAACTGTGGGCTGATATAAAGTGTTCTGATAATGTTTAAGGTAGGCTAGGCTAAACGATGACATTTGGTAAGTTAGGTGTAATAAATCCATTTTCAATTTAGGATATTTTCAAATTACAGTGGATTTATTGGGTTGCAGCCCCTTCATAAGTCAAGGAACATCTGTACTTTTATTAAAGTAACAGACTGGCGACTTCCGGAGAACAATGGTGGAAAAATGTCTTCAGTGTGTTGAGAGAAATTAATTGCCAACCTATAATTCTATCCTCAGAGAAACATCTTTTCTGAATGATGGCAAAATAAAAACATTTACAGACCTTCACAAACGGAAATTGTAAAGCATGTACTTCAAGCAGAAAGAAAATGATCTCAGATTAACAGGGCTGCAAGATTATATGAAGAGCAAAGAAAGTGGTCTTAATAGATGATGTCTTCAAAAGACAATACAAATAATTTTATAGATTTAAAAATATATGAAGGATTAAAGTACACAACATTAAGTTAGTAGAGGTTGAGGGTAAATGGAATTAAGATGTTGGGAGGCCCTTATGTTGTCAGGGAAGAAAGTAAACATGGCCAGGTATGATGGTTCACACCTGTAAATCCCAGCATTTTGGGAGGCCAGATGGGTAGATTGCTTGAGCTCAGGAGTTTGAGACCAGCATGGGCAACATGTAGAACCCAGTCTCTATGAAAAATACAAAAAAATAGCAGGGCATGGTGCACACCTGTAGTCCCAGCTACTTGGGGAGGCTGAGTTGGGAGAATCAATAGAGCCCAGGAAGATCAAAGCTGCAGTGAGTCATGCTCATGCCACTGCACTTTAGCCTGGGTGACAAAGAAAGCCCCTGTCTTTAAAAAAAGAATAAATAAATAAATATATTTATTAATAACAGGCTTTAAAACCCAACACAATAACACAAAGTAAATGGTTGATTTACACCCAATAAATATATCAACAGGTCTGATCTGGTATCATTCTGAATTGCTTATATAACAGTGCTGGTTATTGAAATACTGAATTTTTCTTTTCGGGTTGGTAAATAGCCATTGCCTTGAGCCTGCTGAGTGCCTTCAGCCCCCCTCACCCCGTGGGACTGTTCCTGTGTCCCCCAGTCCACCACACTCCTGTCCTCCAGCCAATATTCTTGTTCTCCCTGCCCAGAGGATGCCCAGACATTGTAGGGAAGAACCTCAGAAGTAGTAGTGGAACCCCAGAGAGTGAATGCCTGGTTTCTCCTGTCTCTTCAAGGCTATAAATGCCTGGCATCTTCTGGAGTCGCCCTCTCATGGTCATTTGTGAGAACTGCAAACTCCACAATGTACCCTGGGAGTTGTTAAATATTTTTATCACCAAAGTATGTATACCAATAATTACATTAAATATAAGTGGACTAAATGCTCTAATTAAAAAGAAAGATTATCAGTGTAAATTTTTAAAAATCCAAATGTATTACATTCAAGACATTCATCTAAAACATAAGATACAGAAAATTTGAAAGTTAAAGAAAGGGGGAACTATACTATGCAACCGTGGAGCAAAAGAAAGCTAACTGATAGAGCTGCATTAATATCTGGGGGAAAAATAGACTCCCAGGTGAAAAGCCTTACTAGGGAAAAGGCAGTAAGTTATTATGATAAAGATTCATTTACTGAGAAGAAATAATAATTTTAAATTTATAAGCACTATACAAAAATACCTCAAGGTATACATCAAAAATTGACAGAACTACAAGGAGAAATAAAGAAGTTCATGATTATTGGAGAGTTGGGGAATAACGCTAAATATATACATTCATGTACTTTTTCATGGCACCCTCATTTTTCATATAAAAACTGTAAAAAGCCTAAAATGCTATTATTTAGGGATCTGTCTGCACTCATATTTTATGAATGATGGCAAAATAAAAACATTAACAGACCTTCACAAAGGGAAATTTTAAAGTATGTACTTTGGGCAAAAGGTAGTACTTGTGTCCTACTTCCTTATTTGGAAGGATGGCTGGATCTCCTTCATTTGTAACATGTAGAAACAAGAATATCTATCCCAACTGGGCA